CAAGACTGGGAAGGGGTGAAGGGCAGGGCGGGAGCTGTGGAGATGGAGGGAGGAGTCGACTCTGTGGTCTTTGGGTAAGCCCCAAGAGGCCCTCTGCATTTGGGCAGTGCTGGTTGCCCGCAGGTGCTTGGAATCCTCCCAGGGACAGAAACATCATTGGTGTGGGGAGGGCACACTCCTCCTGGCAGGAAGGGGCAAGAAACCTGCCCTTTGCGCTAGCCTCAGAGGTGCCCTCTGTGTGGCTTGGGGCCTGTTTGGCCCTCTCTGGCCCCCAGGATTAAGGTGTCTCTGGGCTGTTTCAGCTGGACCAGTCTCAGATCCTAAATGTATTCCAGAGCCTTCTCATGGACATTGGATTCCAGCAGGGGCACAGAAGAGCCTTGCTTGGCCTTTGGCCTGCTCAGACCTGGGTGGGCGGCCTGGGAAGCTGTGTGGTAAGAAAGTTTCTGAGCAGTGTGGCCTCCACGAGGTGCTCCCTCCTCCAGCAGGTGGAGTGCCCTTTCTTCCCAACGAATTCAATCTGAGAATACCTGGCCCGGCCTGGCTCCTGAGACAGCCGAGGGGGCACAATTCATTACCTGGTGGACTGTAAACGGTTCATGAGAACTCACTGAGTCGGGGCTCTGGGCTGGCCTCAAGGGAAGTGGACGCTGCGTGAGACCAGACCTTGGGCTCTAGGCCTGCAGGGAAGCTGCAGGCGGTGCTCAGGGGCAGATCTGTGCTCCACACACAGTAACTTTTGGCCAAGTGCTGGGCTGGCTTCAGGCTACAAAGATGTGTTACATGAGGTCCCTGCCCTGAGCATACCACAGCATGGGAGGGGCAGACACTGGATTCTAACCAGTATATGTGGACAGATCAAGGCTCAGTGTGGGGCAAGAAGCAGCAAGGCCACCTGGCCCTGAGACGCCTCACCCCAGTCAAGGTTTCATTAATGGTGTCCTGGCCTTGATCAGCCTCCCACTGCTCGGAATGTCTCCAGGGTACAAGGTGGCTGCATTGGGAGGGAGCCTTCTTCAGGCACTAGTGAGCAAGCTGTTCCTCCCTCAGGGCCTTGGACACAGTGACTTGTGAGGCTGGGGTGGCCCTGGGCACTGTGACTGCTGGATAGTCTGGGACCTGTGGCTCTGGCACACAGTGAGTTGCCTCCAAATGTGCTGGATCTCCATCCCTGGCACTGGGGAGAGGCTTGGACACAAATTGGCACTGGATGCCCGTGTAAGGGAGATGCTTGGAAACGAGAATTCTTGTTGGGTTAAACTAGGTGAGCTCTAGGTAGCTAGGCCAGCTCTAGGCAGATTATCTACCTAATGCAGCTCCTCTAGGAGAGTGCTACAGAAAGAAGAAACCTACATTACCTGCCATCCTGGTTGGCCAGGAGAGGCAGACTCCTGGGGGACAAAGGGGACTGTGTTGGGCTGTAGGGGCTGCCCTGGAGAGCATCTACCACTGAGCATCTAGCTCCCTTGCCTCCCTGATCCTCAACTGCCCTCAGAGCTCAAGAAAGGGCAATCAGCTCCTAGGAGTCCAGTCCTCTGGCTGGCCAGGTTAGCAGGGCATACCTAAGGAGAAGCAGATACCATCTTTGCCCCAGAAGACCTCACAGCCCAGGTGGGGAGGTGAGATTCCTAAGCTGGAAACACGATGAGGTAGGACATGACTCAGTGCTGAAGTGTTTGCTTTGGCCCTTTGTGTGAGTGAGGGGCGGAGGAAGCCAGGAAGGAGCTGCCAGTGTGGGGGCAGAAGGAAGAGAGAAGGTGCATTTGTGCGTACCCACATGCGTGTGTGTTTGTGTGGTGTGTCATGTGTCTGCATGTGTCACATCTGAGGTCATATCTCCGGAGTCCCCCACCTTCTGTGCTATTTGCCCAGACAACCTAAAAATAATTTCCATTTAGCTTTAGGATTTGTTATTTGATGCACAAGATGCTTGCCCAGCAGATATACTTTCCACCCACACTTTATGTAAGATCAACATCAAGTTAAAATGAGTCTGCATTATTTATGCATACTCAAGGAGGCTAGTAGGCAAAAGGCAGACTAGAGCAGCTGGGATTTCACTAGAAAGTTTATATAAAAATGGTCCCTGGCCAGGGCCAGTGGCTCATGCCTGTAATCCTAACATTTTGGGAGGCCAAGGAAGGAGGATTGCTTGAGTCTAGGTGTTTGAGACCAACCTGGGCAACATAGTGAGACCCTATATCTTAAAAAATACAAAAATTAGGCCGGGCGCGGTGGTTCACGCCTGTAATCCCAGCACTTTAGGAGGCCAGAGCAGGCAGATCACCTGAGGTCGGGACTTCCAGACCAGCCTGACCAACATGGAGAAACCCTGTCTCTACTAAAAATACAAAAGTAGCTGAGTGTGGTGGTACATGCCTGTAATCCCAGCTACTCGGGAGGCTGAGGCAGGAGAATGGCTTGAACCTGAGAGGCTGAGGTTGCAGTGAGCCGAGATTGTGTCACTACACTTCAGTCTGGGCAATGAGAGCAAGACTCCGTCTCAAAAAAAAAAAAAATTAGCTGGGCATGGTGGCACTCACTTATAGTCTGAGGTACTCTGGAGGCTGAGGTGGGAGGATCACTCGAGCCTGGGAGGTTGACGCTGCAGTGAGCAATAATCACACCACTGCACTCCAGCCTGCATGACAGAGCAAGACATCATCTCAAGAAAAAAAAAGATGTTCCAATGTGAATGACAAAATTGGACAATGTGCGTGGATTGGTGATCATAGCATTGATGGGGATGATGATCAGATGAAAAAGGACCCTCTATGGCTACGGGAGGTGTCATAAGCCCCTTATTTCACCCATACGTGACATAGCAATGGGCACATGGCCAGCACTCAGTGCATATTTATTGAACTTATATCTATTGATCCTCTCAATAGATATTGAGAAAAAATGTCCATATATGTAACACATGTGCAAAGTGGAGCCAAATTGATAATTCGTCATGGACAGAGGGTAACTAAATGATAGTCAGACTGAGTTTAAAGTTTAGTTTATTAGATAGATGGCTGAGGGGTGATGCTGTTATCACAGTAAAAGATCAAAGCCACAGAGGAATGATAAATTGATAAATAACGTATTGAAACTTGATAAAGGGGGAGGAAGAGAGAAAAAGCATGGTCAACAGATCCATGGTCAGCTTCAAATAAGTAGGTAGATAGGTAAATAGAAATGTAGCAATAGAGCAAGAGAGACAGAAATGAGGGTGAGAGCGATACTGCGGTAGGCACAGTGATGCCCATCCCTGAAGATGTCTATGCTGCACTCCCAGAGCCTGTGAATATGGTCCCTGACATGGCAGAAGGCACTTTGCAGCTATGATTAAATTAAGGGCCTCGAGAGGAAGGGATTATCCTGGATTGTCCAGTGGGCCCAGTCTAATCGCATGTCCTATCACTGACCTCTCTTTCACTGTGCTGCAGCCTCCCCTTCGCTCTTTTCAGTTCTCGATCATGCCAAGCTCGTTCCTGCCTCAGGACCTTTGTACTCGCTGTTTTCTCTGTCCGCTCCTTTTCATCACTCCGATCTCAGTTCGTCTCCTTGCTTCCAGATTTTTGTCCTGAAGCCTTGGGTACACTGTGTTCCTGGGGACTCAGGTGGGGTAACGGGATGTCCAAGCTCCTCGCCTGTACTGGCTGGCACTGTCCCCAGCCCCAAGTCCTGCCCAAGGTTGTGGGATGGAGCAGTGTGCATGACTCATCAAGCCACAGACACAGTCCCCTTGTTGGAGGGACCTGAGCAATTATGTTGTGGTTAACTCCAAGGGCCAATGGCTCAATTGAAAGGGAAGGTTAGGAATTTCCCCAAGTTCCTCAGATTCACATGGCACCAAGAGGGAGCTAGAGAGTGGCGGAGCTGGGAATGGCCTGTGTGGAAGATGCTGTGACCTCTCTGAGCACTGCCATGTCCCTAGCCTGACCTCAGCCGGCTGCGAAGGAGTAAATGGCATATCCCAGTCTCATAGGGGCCCACCGCCCTTCCAGCATTCCTTTATTCACCCCACATCAGGCATCATGCTGCCCTAGCACAGGTCAGGCCTGCCCTGAAGGAGCCTGTAGTCTAGCCAGGGAGACAGGCTGGCCAGCAAACCTTACAGGTCTACTGAAAAGTGTCCAGAATTGGCGGCACACAGAAGAGGGCCCCGAGCAGATGATGGGGCTTGAAGGCAGTAAGAAACCAGCTGGAGGGTTGAAGGAAGGGCATGCTGGGCAGCAGGAGCAGCCTGGCTGGGTCAAGTTTCTGGGGCTGCTGTAACAAAGTGCCACAGGCAGGGGGGCTTAGAGAGCAGACACTTATTCCCACTGTTCCAGAGAATAGAAGTCCCAAATAGAACTGTGGCTAAGGCCGTGCTCCCTCCAAGGCCTTTAAGGGAGGACCCTGCCTTGCCTCTTCCAGCTTCTGGTAGTCCCTGGCATTCCTTGGCTTTTGGATGCACAACCCCGGTCTCTGCCTTCACTTTCACCTGGTCATCTTCCCTATAGGGTCTTGCTCTGTGGTCCAGTCTCGAGTGTGCTAGAACCATCATGGCTCACTGCAGCCTTGCCCTTCTGGGCTCAAGCTGCCCAGCCTCTCAAGGAGCTGGGACTACAGGCACAGGCACAATGCCCAGCTAATGTTTTTAAATGTTTTTGTAGAGACAGGGTCTCACTATGTTGCCCAGGCTGGTCTTGAACTCCTGGCTTAAGCCATCCTTGTGCCTCAGCCTCCCAAAGTGCTGGAATTATAGGTGTGAGCCACTGTACTTGGTCCTCTTTTTTAAAAAATAAAAATGTTTTATTGCTACATAATAGTTGTACTTATTTTAGGGGTACAGGTGATATGTGGACACATGTATACAATCTATAATACCAAATCAGGATAATTGGGACATCTGTCATCTCAACAACTTTTTCTCTTCTTCTTCTTTTTTTTTAACTAGGCAAAGAACTTTATTAACCTTGGTTTCAAACTTGATTCCCAGGCTTCTTCGGGGAAGAATGAAGAATTAGCTGCAAAGAATGAATTGTGTATAAGCAAAAAACTAAAAAGAGCTGCAGTGTCCAAGGGGCTTGGGGTTAAAAATATTAGAGATCCAGATTTTATCAGACCCATAAACAAAAATTTCTTAAAAAGCAGTCATAATATAAAATAGCAGCTCCCAGTAACTTCTTCAAGTTTTATCTTCAAAAGTTGACTCAATTCAGTTTGCCTCATTCTTGGAAGCCTTATCAAAATTCTCCACAAGATCTGGAACTTCCTCTTCCTCCTCCTCTCCAGTAGCAAGTGGTGCTTTTCCATCTACAGATTGTTTGGGCAGAGCTTCAGCCAGTCTCCTTAAACTAGTCGGACTGTCTGCCCCGAGCTGGTTTCAGATGCTGGGTAGCATTTCTGTCTGCTGCTTTGTCTCAGCATGGCCTGTAATGGTGAAAGTGTTTGCTGCCAGAGATGCCTGAACTTTAGGGTTGTGAAAGTGGATCACTGTTCCTTGGTTTGTAAACATATTCACCTCTCCAATAGCAGAGATATTGTTTACCCCTAACTTCTTTAAGGAGAACTGGAGTTTTTTATCATCTGCTGCGGCTGTTCTATGAACCACCTTCTTTCTGCAAGCAGTTCCTTTCCCACCAATGTGCACTTGTACCTGCAGTTTCGTGAGTTTTTCCTGGTTCAAGATTGTTTCTTTCATCTTGTCGGAGCTGATAAGGGGCCGAGCGGGGGACTAGGGTTGGTGCTGCGGGGGTCTCGGGTGGACCAGCTGAGATTAGGCACACACATACGGGTGCGCAAGATGGCAGCTAAAGGGGCCTTCTTTTTTTGTTTGTTTTTGAGATGGAGTTTTGCTCTTGTTGCCCAGGCTGGAGTGCAATGGTGCGATCTCAGCTCACTACAAACTCTGCCTCCCGGTCAAGTGATTCCTCATCCTCAGCCTTCCAAGTAGCTGGGATTACAGGCATGCACCACCACTAATTTTGTGTTTTTAGTAGAGACGGGGTTTCTCCATGTTGGTCAGGCTGGTCTAGAACTTCCGACCTCAGGTGATCCACATGCCTCAGCCTCCCAAAGTGCTGGAATTACAGGCGTGAGCCACGTGCCTGGCAACAACTTTCCCTCTTCTTATAAGGACAGCAATCATATCATGGTAGGGCCCACTCTGATGACCTTATTTTAACACTATTAAATCTGCAAAGACCCTGTTTCCAAATACGGTCACCTTTACAGGTAAAAGAGGTTAGGATTTTAGTGTATATCTTTGTGTATGTGGCATGAAGTCAGAATTCAACCATAAGCATGGGCAAAGGCTTGGAAGGGCGTGGAGCTCAGGGCAGAGCTCTCCACCATTTGCCACCTCATCACCACAGCCTTTCTACACATTTCCCCAGTGATTCACCGGTCCACACACCTGCCCTCATGCTCACACCTTCAGACTCTTGCTTCCACAGTCCCCTTGTCTGTCTCAGCTGCTTTCTTTTGCTATTGCCAGGCCCATCTCGTCAGGGAGCTCTCTCTGACTTGGAAGTGCCAGTCCTTTGGTCTCTTTCTGTCACTCAGGCTGGAGTGCATTGATGTGATCATGGCTCATTGCAGCCGCGACCTCCTGGGTGTAAGCGATCCTCCCACCTCAGCCTCCCAAAGTGCTAGGATTACAGGTGCAAGCCACCGGACCCAGCCTCTTTCTCTGATTTCTGAGACTTTCAGTCCAAGGGCTCATTTAATCTACAACACAGTGCCCAAGTGGGCATCTTTTTACCTGTTCCCTTCAGCCTCCTCCCTGCTCTATGCCAAGCCCAGGATCAGGGAACAAGAGACGAAGAGTCCAACCGGGCGCCATGGCTCACACCTGTAATCCCAGCACTTTGGGAGGCTGAAGTGGGTGATCACTTGAACTCAGTTCAAGCCCAGGAGACCATGAGTCCAGCCTCTCAGCCATTTCCAAACTTCCTCTTCACCCTCCCTGCCCAAGTTTCTCACCTGTGCGTGGGTGTCCCCATGCCAGGGGGATCTGGGCCACACTGTGTCTCCCAGGACCTCACTCCCACCATTTGGAGCCCCATGGAGTCCGCTTGGCCTCCCGGTGACGGTGGCTGCAGTGGAGCATGAGCCACAGCTGGGACCATATGAGGGACTTGCAAATGGCTCCCTGGCTTAAGGGTCTCCTTTATCCACCTGCCACATGCCAGAAATTCCATCATTAGCAAGTCTGACAGCATCCACCCCTGATAAGGACAGATGCCCCAAGGAGGGCCAGGACTTACTGCCAAGAGCCTGACAGCCTGTTGCTTGTTGACATCTCACTCAAGTCCTTCAGGAGACTTGTACCCTAAAGGCAGGAGGGGGCTGAAGGAGATAGGTCTCCTCTGCAGAGCTTAGTCCTGAGGCTGCAGGCAGAGAGGTGGGGGAATCTAAGGCAGCCCCAATGGCCCTGCCCTGCCCAGGGGGTGGCTCTTAGGTCCCAGAAGCTCAGCCTCTTCCTCTCTCCCCACACTCACTTTAGTCCTGCACCTCCTTGGCTGGAGAACCACCCCCTCCACACACTCCCAGCTGCTGGGCTGTTAGTGACCTTTGGACTGGGGAAGCACTGGAGCCTCCTGGGCCCCACACCCAGGCTGGCACTCACAGGGAGCAGGGAGAGGCCCAGAACTGTCACTCTCAGGCAGGCCCAGTCCCCGGTGTCCTCAACTAGCCAGTCCTGTTCTGCTCTTTCTTCCATGGGGAGGAGCTGGGGCAGGGAAGAGGGCTGGGTCAGTCCCCGCCAGAGGCACTGGGCTGCCACTTGTCCTCAGCCCCGCAGATGTCCCTGGAGTCTGTGCAGAGGCTCTGGGCAGAAGTGCTGAGGTGCTCCTACTTTCCTGCCAGAGGGACTGGAGGATAGGATGAGGAAGTGTGCTCAGTGCCAGACCCTGAGGTCCCAACAAGACTCATCTGGGAGGGTGAGCTAGCCCTGTCTGATAAGGAACTATTTCAGGTTTGCAGTAATCAAGCCTAGCTTGGGGCTACCCCAAATAGTTCAGATAATGGAAGCCAAATGTCTGAGAGCTTGATTTGGCTCCTGGGCCTGGCTGCCCAGTGCAGCCCCAGTGAGGGCCTAGCCTCAGCCCTCCCCTAGCTTCCAGGCCCCTCCTCCACCTGAAAACATCAGTGCAGGCCTGGCCCTAGCAGGTCCTCTGGATAACAAAACCTCCTGGAGCCCACAGCACTAATTCTGGTCAGGGCCCACATAGCATACAGGATAAGAGGCTTTTTTTTTTTTTTGAAACCAAGTTTCGCTCTGTCACCCAGGCTGGAGTGCAGTGGCACACTAGCAGCTCACTGCAACCTCCGTCTCTGGGGGTCAAGTGATTCTCCTGCCTCAGACTCTCGAGTAGAGACGGGGTTTCACCATGTTGGCCAGGCTGGTCTCAAACTCCTGACCTCAGATGATTCACCCGCTTTGATTAGAGGCATGAGCCATTGACCACGCCCGGCACAAAATGCTTTTTAAATTAAGGGCTTTATGGAGAATTTCATAGTTCCCCAGAGAGGGTAAGGAATGTCTAGGGTTTGGCTAAGCCTGGCTTTGAACCTGATGCTAATAGGAGAGAAGGCATCTTTAGACCTGACCTGAGCCCAGGTTAGGGGTCCAGTCAGTTGCCTGGGCAGCTAGGTCGACCTCTTTCCTCAGAGATGTCTACCAGCTGTGTTACTGAGGACAGCAAGTTGGAGGTTGACCCCACTCCAGGAGCACAGCCCATCAGTGGCCCTATTGGCCCTTTATAGGTGTGGTCCTCTGCTAAGGGCGGTCAAACTCTGCCAAGCTCCCATTGTCCCCTCCCTCAAAGGGGAAGAGGGACGCTATGCTTTGGTGCAGCATGGGGCTTGTGGTCCCCTGTCTGAACCTTGAACATGACACCCATGCTGGGCTGGGGAGGAGTGTACAAAGACACCAGGGGCATCCTGGGAGCAGGGCTGTCTTTGCTCAGAGAGTAAATGCTCAGTTCTGCTCTGTAGCAAAATCCTGCTATGTATCCAATTTCCTCCTCAAGCCCTCGACAGATTCTCCAAATGGTCTCAAGGGGTTCAGGGTTCAGTCTGGGGTTTGTGTCCTCATGATCCTTGGTTCTGGAACATGGTCTCCAAGCCCAGCAAACCCCAGACTTCTTAACATTCTCTGGAGGTCCCTATGCAGCACCAGGAAGAAAGAACACTTTCTTCCCCCACCCTACTGTAGACTTCTCTGGGCTCATTTGGTCTACAACACAGTGCCCAAGTGGGCATCTTTTTACCTGTTCCCTTCATTCCTCCCATTCTTCCCCTGCTACCTGTGAGCTTCCTGAGCCCTCAATCCTCAAAGCCACAGTCTAACATAGTTAGAGTTAATGCCAACTGTACCACATGGTAGCTGTGTGAGCTTGGGTACACATGTAGCTTGGGCAAGGTACTTATCCTCTCTGGGCTTCATTTGCCTTTCTTATACAATGGAAATGATGATAATCCTTAGTCATTGTGAGGATCAAATGAGATCATTCAAGGGCTGGCACATCGTGAGTGCTTAATAGACAACAGGTGGTATGCTTATCATTGTGATCTGTGGGTAACCATCTTTAAGCTGAACCTCCTTTTCTGCCCCTCTCCTCCATCTCCCTAAATCCAGACTTGTCACCTTCCTAAAGCCCCTGCGGCCAGAACTGGGGAGGCTGGTCAGGTCCTTCTCCCAGGCAAGCAGGAGGCAGGGATGTGTGTCTGAGCAATCTGCATTTGTGGTAGTGAAGCTAAAATGAGATGTCCGGAACCCGGGGTGTTCCCACTTTGGTCATCATTCATACTCTTAATTTAAGAGGATTTTAAGAATCAGCATTTCTGTAGTAGAAGCCAAAGCCAAAATACAAAGAGTCACTGAAGGCCACAAAGCAAGACCAGGCCAGAGCTGGGTGAGAGTCTTGGTCAACCTGACATCCAGCTCTCCTCCCCATCTGACTCAACAGCTCTCATTTCTCTAGAAGCCTCATTCTGGAGCTTTCCTCTTCAGAGAAAGCAGCAAACAAAGCACCGAGCCAGCTCCCTGGGCCTGGAGCCCTGAGCTCCCCGGGCAGACCCACAGGACGACAGAGACGTTACCGGAGTTGATGATTCAACTTCCTGCCTTTTGAGAGCTCCCAGACCACAGAGGTTTTCTTGCATGGAGGAGGGGGCATCTCCCTGCAGAGGGCCTGCCCAAATGGGACAAGGCCCTGCCACAAACCACAAGGACAAGGCAGTGCCTGGAGCACGCCCTGGGGGGCCACACTTGAACCCTGGCCAGCTGGCTCCTGAAGCCTGGCCTCTCTGGGTTAAAGATTACTACCTAGGATGACCAACTGTCCTGTTCTGGTTTGCCTGGGACTGTCCTGGTTTTAGCACCAAAAAACCTAAATCCTAGGAAACCCTCATTTCTGAGCAAACCAGAACAGTTTGCCATTCATAACACCTATATGGTGGGACAGGACTTACAGCCTCAGTGACTCTGAGGAGTCTGAGCCCCAGGATGGCACATTCTAGAACAAGGAATTGGCCAACTGTGGCCTGAAGGCCAGCTCTGGCCCACTACCCATTTTTGTACAGCCTATGAGCTAAGAATAGTTTTTCCATTTTCTTTTTTTTTGAGATGGAGTCTCACTGTATTCCCCAAGGAGTGCGTGGTGTGATCTCGGCTCTCTGCAGCCTCTTAGGGCCTCCTGGCATTGAATGGTCCTATGAATCCCTCTTCTTTCAACCAGACATTTGGGTGGGGAGCTCTCCTCCCTGAGACATGGTGCAGGTGGGGCCATTAACTCCTGCCTTCCCACCCCGCTCAGGTGAACATCACTGGAAACTTCTCAAGTGCGAAGCCATGCCCTGAGTGTTGCTGAGCTTGGCCAGCAGGGAGCTGACAATCTGGGAGAGCTCAAACAATGTAGAGAGACTGTGAAGCTGGGACTCAATGCCCAGTCTAATATGGGCCCAATTCAGCCCCTCCACCTACCCCTGCCCTAACCTACAGTAAGATGCTCTCTCCTTTTTATTCTAGAGGGCTAAGGACGGGGTTTATCTGAGCAGATCAAGGTTCTTGGAAGGCTTGTGGGGAGCTGACCTCAGCTCAGTATAGACAGTGGTCTGTCTGGTCTGCTCAGGCAGGGCCAGGGCCAGCCCTTTGCAGGCTTCCTGTGTGCCCAGTGATACTAAGCCACCTCCCTCTTTTCCTGTGTCCCTGACATCAGGTTTTAGGACTTTGGAAAACCTAATAACCAAGGATCTGCAGAAGACACCACAGAGGTGCTCAGTTTCTGGGCTCTCCCTGGAAGTCTCCCATGCAGTAGGGTCAGAGGGGCTATTTATTTATTTACTTTATTAGACCAAGTCTCACTCTGTGGCCCAGGCTGGAGTGCAGTGGCACGATCTTGGCTCACTGCAACCTCCGCTTCCTGGGTTCAAGCAATTCTCCTGCCTCAGCCTACTGAGTTTCTGGGATTACAGGCGCCCGCCACCGTGCCTGGCTAATTTTTTCCTATTTTTAGTAGAGACGGGGTTTCACCATGTTGGCCAGGCTGGTCTCGAACTCCTGACCTCAGGTGATTCGCCCACCTCGGCCTCCCAAAGTGCTGTGATTACAGACGTGAGTCACTGTGCCCAGGTGCTATTTATTTTTTTAAGTAAACCTTTGTGTTGAAATATAATATACAGTCAGCTACTGCATAATGACATTGCAGTCAACAACGGACCGGATTATAATGAAATTGAAAAATTTCTATTGTCTAGTGACATCATAGCTGTTGTAATGTCACAGTGCAACACATTACTCACATGGTTGTAGTGATGCTGGTCTAAACAAACCTACACTGCCAGTCCTGTAAAGTATAGCACATACAACCATGTATAGTACATAATACTTGATAATAAGTGACTACGTTACTGGTTTATGTATTTGCTGTACTATAATTTTTATCATTATTTTAGAGTGTACTCCTACTTATTAAAAAAGTTAACTGTAAAACGGCCTCAGGCATGTCCTGGAGGAGGGATTCCAGAAGAAGGCCTTGTTATCATAGGAGATGACATCTCTATGTGTGTTATTGTCCCTGAAGACCGTCCCGTGAGATGAGATGTGGAGGCAGAAGATGATGATAGTGGCAATCCTGACCTCGTGTAGGCCTAGGCTAACAGGTGTTTGTGTTTCAGTTTTTAACAAAAAAAAAATTTAGGTAAAATATAAAAAATTTTAGCCGGCACGGTGGCTCACGCCTGTAATCCCAGCACTTTGGGAGGCCAAGGCAGGTGGATTGCTTGAGGTCAGGAGTTCGAGACCAGCCTGGCCAACATGGTGAAACCCCGTCTCTATTTAAAAAAAAAAAAAAAGTATATATATATATATATATATATATATGTATATACACACAAACACACACATAAAAAAATTTTAAAATAGCCAGGCGCAGTGGCTCACACCTGTAATCCCAGCACTTTGGGAGGCTGAGGCGGGTGTATCACCTGAGGTCAGGAGTTTGAGACCAGCCTGACCAACATGGAGAAAAACCGTCTCTACTAAAAATACAAATTTAGCCTGGCGTGGCAGTGCACGTAATCCCAGCTACTCGGGAGGCTGAGACAGGAGAATCGCTTGAGGTGGAGGTTGTGGTGAGCTGAGATGGCGCCATTGCATTCCAGCCTGGGCAACAAGAGCAAAACTCTGTCTCAAAAAATATATGTATATATTTTTAAATAGAAAAAAGCTTATAGAATAAGAGAGAAAGAAAGAAAATTGCTGGGCATGGTGACTCACACCTGTAATCCAGCAGATTGCTTGAGCCCATGTGTTCGAGACCAGCGTGGGCAACGTGGTAAAACCCGTCTCTACAAAAAATACAAAAATTATCCGGGCGTGGTGGCATGTGCCTGTGGTTTCAGGTACTCAAGGGGCTGAGGTGAAGGGATCACTTGAGCCTGGGAAGTTAAGGTTACAGTAAACTATGAAGTAAGCCGAGATTGTGACACTTTGGGCGACAGAGTGAGCTGTCTAAAAAATGAAAAGGAAAAGGAAGAGAAAATATTTTTGTTCAGCTGTACAATGTGTGTTTTAAGATAAGCGTTTTTACAAAAGTCAAAAAATTAAAGTCCTCACTTCAGCAGCACGTATACTAAAATTGAAGCAATACAGAGAAAATTAGCATGGATCCTGTGCAAGGATGACACACCAATTCATGAAGCATTCCGTATTTTTCTAAATGCCCATCAGCGGTAGACTAGATAAAGAAAATGTGGTACGTATACACCATGGAATACTATGCAGCCATAAAAAGGAACAAGATCATGCCCTTTGCAGGGGCATGGATAATATTGGAAGCCATTATCCTCAGCAAACGAATGCAGGAACAGAAAAGCAAACACTGCATGTTCTCACTTACAAGTGGGAGCTGAATGATGAGAACACATGGGCATATGGAGCAGGGAACAACACACACTGGGGCCTTTCGGGGGCTGGTGGAGGGAGGGAGAGCATCAGGAAGGATAGCTAGTGGATGCTGGGCTTAATACCTAAGTGATAGGATGATCTGTGCAGCAAACCACCATGGCACGCGTTTACCTGTGTAGCAAACCTGCACATCCTGCACCTATACCCCTGAACTTACAATTAAGTCGAAGAAGAAAAAAAAAAGTTGAAACAGTTTAAAGGTTACAGTAAGCTAAAGTTAATTTGTTACTGAAGAAAGAAAAATATGTTTTTTGGGACACGGTCTGTCCCTGCTGCCTATGCTGGCACAGTCGTTGCTCACTGCACCCTCAAACTCCTGGGCTCAAGCAGTCTTCCCACTTCAGACTCCCACCTCAGCCTCCCGAGTAGCTGAGCACAGTGAGCTATTATTTTTTTTAAATTTTTTGTAGTGACAGCGTCTTGCTATGTTTCCCAGGCTGGTCTTGAACTCCTGGTCTCAACTGATCCTCCCACCTGGATCTCCCAAAGTGCTGGGATTTACAGATGTGAATCACTGCCCCCAGCCTGAAAGAAAAATTTATTTTATTTTTATTTTTTATTGAGTGTGTGGTTTTTGTTTGTTTGTTTTTGAGATAGGGTCTCACTTTGTTGCCCAGGCTGGAGTGCAGTGGTGTGATCACAGCTCGCTGCAGCCTCAACCTCCCAGGCTTAATCCTCCCACCTCCCAGCAATCCTCCCACCTCAGCCTCCTGGGTAGCTGGGACTACAGGCATGCACCATCAGGCCTGACTAATTTTGGTATTTTTTGTAGAGACAGGGTTTTGCTATGTTGTCCACACTGATCTCAAACTCATGGGCCCAAGCAGTCCTCCTGCCTCAGCCTCCTAAAGTGCAAGGATTACATAGTAAGCCACCACACGCAGTCTAAGAAAAAATTTTGAAATAAATTTAGTGTAGCCTAAGTGTACAGTATTTATAAAGTCCATGGTAGAGTACAGCAATGTCCTAGGCCTTCACACTCACTCACTGCTCCCTCGATGACTCACCCAGAGCAACCTGCAGTCCTGCATAGTGAGTGCCGCCTCCTGGGTTCAAGCGATTCTCCTGCCTCAGCCTTCCGAGTAGATGGGATTACAGGCACCTGTCATCATGTCCAGCTAATTTTTGTATTTTTGAAGCGACGGGCTTTACCACGTTGGCTAGGTTGGTTTTGAACTCCTGACCTCAGGTGATCCACCTGCCATGGCCTCCCAGAGTGCTGGGGTTACAGGCATGAGCTACCATGCCTGACTTCCTACCACTGTATTTTTACAGTACCATTTCTATGTCTCTCTCTCTCTCTCTCTCTATATATATATATATATATATTTTTTTTTTTTTTTTTTTGAGAAGGAGTCTTGCTCCGTCGCCTAGGCTGGAGTGCAGTGGTACGACCTCAGCTCACTGCAACCTCTGTCTCCTGGGTTCAAGCGATTCTCCTGCTTCAGCCTCCCAAGTAGCTGGGACTATAGGCGTGCACCATCATGCTCAGTTAATTTTTTTTTTTTTTGTATTTTTAGTAGAGATGGGGTTTCATCATCTTATCCAGGATGGCCTTGATCTCCTGACCTTGTGAACGGCCTGCCTCGGCCTCCCAAAGTTCTGGGATTACAGGCGTGAGCCAGATACACAAATACTTACCATTGTGTTACAATTGCCAACAGTATTCAGTATAGTAACATGCCACACAAGTTTGTAGTTTAGTCTAGGAGCAATAGGCCATACTTTACAACCTAGGTGCATAGTAGGCTGTACCACTGAGGGTTGTGTGAGTATACCCTATGACGTTTCTACAATGATAAAATCACCTAACAATACATTTCTCAGAATGTATCCCCATCACTGAGCAATGCAAGGACTGTACTTACAGAAAAGTGCACCAATCATTAGTTAAATATACAGCTCCTGTGATCACACCTGAGTAACCATCATCTGTGTCACCAGAAACAGAACATCAAAGCCCCTCCTGCCCTTTCCAAGTCACTGCCCCCCGAGATAATCAGTATTGTGGCCTCTAACACCATAGATTAATTTTGCCTTTTTGTGAACTTTATGTCAATGGAATCAGATAGTATGTACTATTTTTATGTCTGGCTTCTGTTGCTCAATGAGATTTATCCCAATACTTTTCTCAGTCTCAGAGCTATATTTTATGACTATATCACAATTTATTCATTCCACTGTTGATAGAAATGAATGTAGGTTGTTCCCAGCTTTGACTATTACAAATTGTGCATGCCTTTTGGGACACATATGTACGCCTTTCTGCTGAGAATATATATTTAAGAATGGAATTGTTAGGCCATACGGTATGCCTATGTTTAACTTTAGAGGCTACTGCTGAACAGTTTTCAGGTGATTTTACCAGGGGGCTAATTTTTTTTAACAGCACAGGCTGAAACTTCAGGTGATGTTTCTAGAACTACTTATATTGGTGGTGAAAGGCGACATCTCCACCTATTTCTCAGGCTGCAAATACTGCCAACTCTAAAAGAGGCTCAGAAATGCTGCTCATGGAGCTTTTTTTTTTTTTTTTTTTTTTTTTTTTTTTTTTTTGAGACGGAGTTTCGCTCTTGTTACCCAGGCTGGAGTGCAATGGCGCGATCTCGGCTCACCGCAACCTCCGCCTCCTGGGTTCAGGCAATTCTCCTGCCTCAGCCTCCTGAGTAGCTGGGATTACAGGCATGCACCACCATGCCCAGCTAATTTTTTTTTTTGTAGTTTTAGTAGAGAGGGGGTGTCACCGTGTTGACCAGGATGGTCTTGATCCGTTGACCTTGTGATCCACCCGCCTCGGCCTCCCAAAGTGCTGGGATTACAGGCTTGAGCCACCGCGCCCGGCCTCATGGACCTTTTTATGAGCTCTATTCTTTTTCTTTTTTTTTTTTTTGAGACAGAGTCTCTCTCTGTCACCCAGACTGGAGTGCAACGGTGCGATCTCTGCTCACTGCAATCTCTACCTCCTGGGCTCAAATGATTCTCCTGCCTCAGCCTCCCAAGGATCTGGGATTACAGGCACACGCCACCATGCCCAGCTAATTTTTTTTTTTGTATTTTTAGTAGAGATGGGATTTCACCGTGTTGGCCAGGCTGATCTCGAACTCCTGACCTCAGGTGATCTGCCCGCCTCGGCCTCCCAAAGTGCTGGGATAACAGGTGTGAGCCACCACGCCCAGCTCTGAGCTCTATTCTTAACCTGCTCACCAACTCCGCTGAGCTCTGGCTTGTTGAGGATGGATCATGGTTGTGAGGGACTGGTCTCCCTGGAGACTGTCTTTGAGGAGTCCTGGGCCAAGAACGGCCAGGAGCTCTCAGCTTGCGTATTACCATGATGCCAGGAAATAATTATTGTTATTTTTCTGGCCCTATGCTTACTCAAGAAATATTTCATAATAGACCCAGGTTAGTTTCTTCAGCTCCACAT